CGCCCGCTGGTGAGAGGTGGCCCGCGCCAGCCACAGCAGAACGCGCGTGATATGGAAGCTGACCGCAGGTGAATGCGGCAACGCGAAATATCAAGCTCAACGCTGCGGGCGCAGTCAAGGCGAGGGCGGGAAAGCGGGGTCCTTGCTGGCCCTGACCAAGGGTATCCGCGCGCGGCCACGGGGCAAAATCGTCTTGATCCAAAATGCTGACGGAAGGGGGGAGGAGGAGGAGGAGGAGGAGGAGGAGGAGGAGGAGGAGGAGGAGGAGGAGGAGGAAAAGGAGGAGAAGGAGGAAGAGGAGGCGGAGGAGGAGGATAGGACGCGGAGCCATCGGTGGTGCCCCCGATGGGGCCACGAGACATGTGCGGGGTGTGCCAAAATGGGTGGCGGGGACGCATATGGGCACCGCCACTGCGGCTTTCGGTGGTGCTCCCTATGGGGCCACGAAACAAACGTGTGAGCGGCGTGCCGAAAAAAGTGACGGGGACGCATGTGGGCACCGTCACTGGGGCTTTCGGTGGTGCTCCCTATGGGGCCACGAGACGTGCGCTGGGTGTGCCAAAATGTGTGGCGGTGACGCATGTGGGCACCACCACCGGTGCCGTTAGGTGGAGCTCCTAACGGCCACGAAACGTGTGAGGGGCGTGCCGAAAAAGGTGGCGGGGACGCGTGTGGGCACCGCCACTGGGGCTTTCGGTGGTGCTCCCTGCGGGGCCACGAAACGTGTGAGCGGCGTGCCGAAAAAAGTGGCGGGGACGCACGTGGGCACCGCCACTGGGGCATTTCGGTGGAGCTCCTAACGAGCACGAGACGTGTGAGGGGCGTGCCGAAAGTGGTGGCGGGGACGCATGTGGGCACCGCCACTGGGGCTTTCGGTTGGGCTCCCTGTGGGGCCACGAAAGGTGCAAAAGGGAGGGCGAAATGGGTGGCGCGGACGCGTGCGGGCTGCGCCGCTGTGACCTTTTGCGGAGCCCCTTTGGGGACACGAAACGTGTGAGGGCCGAAAGGGGTGGCGGGGACGCATGCGGGCTGCGCCACTGGGACCTTCGATGGGGTTCCCTATGGCGCCGTCAAAATGCGGCCGTGACACATGCAGGCTGCGCCACTCGGACTTTCGGTGGAGCTTCCTATGTGGCCACGAAACGTGTGAGGGGGTTGTCAACATGGGTGGCGGGGAAGCATGCGGGCTGCGCCAGTGAGCCTTCGGCAGGCTTCTCGGGGGACACGAAACGCGTGACGGGTGTGCCGGAATGGGGCACGCATGCGGGTTGCGCCACTGGGGCCTTCGGTAGAACTCATGTGAGGCCACGAAGCGTGTGATGGGCGTGCCAACATGGGCGGCGGGGGCGCATGCGGGCTACGCCACGGCGACCTTCGGTGGGGTTCCCTATGGGGCCACGAAGCGTGTGCGGGGTGTGCCAAAGTGGGCGGCGGGGACGCATATGGACACCGCCAGCGGGGCCTTTCAGTGAAGCTCTTAACGGCCAGGAAACGTGTGAATGGTGTGCCGAAAGTGGCGGCGGGGAAGCATGTTGGCACCGTCATGGGGCTTTCGGTGGTGTTCCCTGTGGGGCCACGAGACGTTTGATGGAGAATCAGAATGAGTGGCGGGGACGCACGCGGGCTGTGCAACTGGGACCTTCGGCTGAACCCTATGGGGCCACGAAACGTGTGAGGGGTGTGCCAACATGGGAGGCGGGCGCGCATGCGGGCTGCGCAACTGGGACCTTCGGCTGAGTTCCTATGGGGCCACGAGACGTGTGAGGGGTGTGCCAACATGGGAGGCGGGCGCGCAAGCGGGCTGCGCCACTGGGGCCTTCGGTGGAGCTCCCTTGGGCCTACGAAGCGTGTGACGGGTGCCGAAATGAGTGGCGGGGACGCATGTGGGCACCGTCACTGGGGCCTTCGGTGGAACCCCATATGGGGCCACGGAACGTGTGAGTGGTGTATCACAATGGGTGGCGGGGACGCATGCGGGCTGCGACACGGTGGCCCTCGGTTGAGTTCCGATGGATGTCACGAAACGCGTGACGGGTGTACCGAAACAGAGACACGCGGAGGGCACAGGCACGGATGGGAGGAGGGAGGAGGGAGGGGGAGGAGGAGGAGGAGGAGGAGGAGGAGGAGGAGGAGGAGGAGGAGGAGGAGGAGGAGGAGGAACGCAGGGGCTGTCTCTTCAAAGCGAGGAACCAAGACACATATTAGCTGGGAAGAATGCAGCCCACTAGCGGCGGTTTTGCGGAGCTCGCAGCTGCGCGGCGGCAACTAGAATGGCACTCTGGCCTGCGACGGGGCCAGACATGGGCGCCTCCGCTTCCTCGTGACCCTTGGCCGCGCCTCAAGTCTTGGACGCACACGCATCTCCTCGCAACACTTCCTTGCCGCGTCTTCTCGCAGCCGCCTTGAATCCTTGCCGTGCCGCGTGCAGGAGCGCCGCAGCCCCAGGCGCCAAGGATGACGCTGGGGTCGAGCAGAGCGCTACCGCGCGGCAACGCATTCGGCTCGCCAGAGCCGTCTTCATTTATGGGTCTATATGGGCGCCTGGGCCTGTGTTTCCTCGGACTCCCACCAGCCAGCGAACCTCGTTCGGGCTGGCCTCGTATTCTCGCAGTTTGGTCATCTCTTCGACGCCTTCTCCTGGCCAGCCTCACAGGGCTCCTGTTGGCGACTGGGCGGCGCTGCAGTGGCCCAGTTTTTGACGTCGGCGAGGCCGCACTCCGTTGCAAGGGACGTCGGCCCAACCAGAGCTCCGACCACTTTATTCCGCGTCGCACCCCCCCCCCCGCGTCCCCAGCGCCAGAGTGGGACCCCCGCCCCGTGGCTCTCTGCCCCGAGCCCCCCCCCGCGTCCCCAGCGCCCCAGCTGCCCCGAGCCCCCCCGCGTCCCCAGCGCCCCAGCGGGAGCCCCGCCCACTGCCCCCTCCGCCACGAACGCTTCATTCCGCGTCGCGACCGCCCCGACAATTTTATGCCGCGTCGCGACGTACACCCCCTCCCCCCCTCCGCCCCCCGTCCCCAGCGCCCCAGTTGGACCCCCGCCCCGTGGCCCTCTGCCCCAAGCTCCGCCCAGTGCCCCCTCCGCCCCGACCATTTTATTCCGCGTCCCGACGCACCCCCCCCCCCTCCTCTCCGCGCCCCCAGCGCCCCAGTGGGACCTCCGCCCCGTGCCCCCATCCGCTCCGAGCACTTGACAGACCACCTCCCCTCCCCTCCCCACCTGGGATTTGGGCCCCGTTGCTTGGCCCCGAGGGGCGATGTCTTGCCCCCTCTTCCCCCCTCCTCCTCCACCTCGTCCTCCTCCCCCTTCTTTCAGTGCAAGAGCCATGGCACACGTGCCACTTGTTTCGCCAAGATCGCGGCCGCATGCCTGCGATCTGGGGAAACCAGAAAGATACCGATACTGCTACTCCCCGAACCTCTCCCAGGGTGCGTTCTGACCAGCATTTCGAGGCGAATCCAGCAATGGCGACGAGGGCCTCCGAAGAGGCCAAAGAGCGCGAAGCGGTATGGGTAATTTTTTCTCCTTCGACGATCCCAATGCCCGCGGCTGTGAATAAGAGGGGGGTGCCCAGCCGGGCGCCATCGCGGCGGCCGCGGTGCGCACCAGCCCCAGCCCGGTCAAACAGGGCCCCTGCACTCGGCCCCCGTCTGCTGGAGCGGAGCACCTTTCCCCCCCCCCTCCTCGTCCCCTCCCTTTCTTCATTGCTCTCTCCTCCTCCTCCTCCTCCTCCTCCTCCTCCTCCTCCAGCTCCTCCTCCTCCTCCTCATCCTCCTCCTCCTACTGCCGCGACCCCAGCACCCGTCCAACTCTTAGACGAGTGTTCCCTGTGGCCAGGCGTGTGAGCACGTCCGACTACCCTCGCTCCCCCTTTGGGGCTGAGCCAGGGAACCACGGAGCAGTCTTATTCAGCCCCCTCTCTTGTCCCTCCATCACTCCTCTACTCCTTCTCCTAATCCAGCTCCTGGGAATCAGGAATGATGGGGGGGGGAAATGGAGGGAGGGATGGCTGGAGGTGGAGACGCAAGGGTGTGGCTAGGGAGGTGTTCCGCAGGCAACACGGTTGTCCTGTGATCATCGACTCCGATGGTTAACCTGGCGGTCCTCCCTGGTGGTCGTACCAACTGGCTAGACGATTCCAGTCTTGGCGCAAGATCACCTTTCATCGGTAACAGACGCGTGATGCTAGCAGAAAGAAATGCAACCGTGCCTTCGGAGACACATTTACGTACTCTCGCTGTCACGGTCACCATCAACATCGCAAACATCCTCCTCCTGCTCCTCCTCCGCCTGCTCCTCCTCTTGCTCGTCGTCCTCGTTGTCGACGTCTGTCTGATCGCCTCGTCACCATCATCATCATCATCATCATCATCATCATCATCATCATCATCATCATCATCATCATCATCATCATCATCAGCATCATCATCATCATCATCATCAGCATCAGCATCAGCATCAGCATCAGCATCAGCATCATTATCATCAACATCAGCATCACATCATCATCAACATCATCATCACCATCATCGTCATCATCAGCATCATCAGCATCATCCTCATCAGCAGCAGCAACATCATCATCAGCGTCATCATCGTCACCAACGTCATCATCGTCATCAACGTCATCATCATCACCATCATCGTCATCATCATCATCATCATCATCATCATCATCGTAATCGTCATCACCATCACCATCGCCACCATCATCATCCTCACAATCATCACCATCATCATCATCAGCATCATCATCAGCATCTCCTCCTTCCTCTTGGCCCACAAGGCAAACGACCCTTAGCCCTTGCGCCCAGGGCCAGTTGCTGAAATACAGATCAGAGCTTTCCCAACCTTGCCTTGGCCCTGCACGAATAGCGCACTGCAGCAAGCTTCTGGCAGACCAGCGAGACAGGCCCCCTCCGTATCACGATCATCATTGCCATTGCAATCCCCCTCATCATCACCATTTTGCCGCTGTCGGGAGGGGGGGGGAGCAGGCTATCCTTGTCTGCCTTTTTCCGCCTGCACCCGCTGCAGGAGCCTGTGCTCGCACCTGCGGCCACCGCGCGGGCAGCCACTGCTCCTGCAAGCTGTTGCTGCGGTTCCTAAGAGCTAACCAGCTTCGAACTGGTCCATGCCCATAAGATTTACAAGCACAGGGCGATGACAATCTTAGAGATGCACCCTCAGAAACTCAGGGGGACTGAAGATCAACACCGAGATAAGGCGATGCTAAACGCACGGAACGAGACATGCACAGGGTTGGAAACATGGTGTCCCAAAACACGCCCTGGGCCTTCACCCAAGCTTGCTCCCTCGACCCTGCAATGTACATATATGATTAAACACATGGCCACGTGCACGAAGAAGGACACATTCACCGTTAGCATGTCACCTTCACATGCGGACACAGGGCGCTTCTGTGAAGACCCTGAGCATTTGGGAGATACCGAACGTGCGTGGTGCATGCTAGTAGGACGCTTTCTCACGTGACGTGCCCATTGCAACAGCATCCGAAATAGCACCCGATGGCTCAACAGAGCTTGCCACTTGGCTTCCAATGCTGCCTACTCTGGCCTCCACAAGAATCCCTGGTGGCCCAAAAATGGCTTCATGATGGCCCAAGAGCCGTCTACGGAAGACCCTGACATGCTAAAACCAATATACATGATCTTGGCGTTCCCGCCTTCGCTCTGTCATCTGGGCCACACCGGTCGTACGGTGGCCCCACTGCGACAGCGCTCCACCAGAGCTTCAAGACAGTTCCGACTCCCTAAATATGGCTAAAAAAACCCAACATGAGCAGAGGGCGCCAACAAAACTAAACATGCACGTATGTATGTATGTATATATATATATATATTGATTCTCGCCCCCCTGTGATCACACCACTAGTCTTGGCTTCGATGGTTTCCACTTTTTGTTATTCCGTCCTCCCCTTCATCTGTTCCCCGTTCTCTATCCCTCATCCTGTTATCCTCCTTCAGCGGGGCAGTGCAACCTCGGGCAGGGGGCGGCGGGGTCTCCCCAGCCTGCCCGGGCCGCGCGCCGCTGCGTCGCCTCTGGTGCCCCGGCGTCGCTCGCTGCGCTGGCGGCCTCGCTGAGCAGGTGGCGTCCCGGGGCAGCGCGGGGCAGGCCCATGGCCGCCTCCCGCTCGTGCCAGCAGGCCGCACAACGAAACAGCAATGCCACACTGGCGGGCGCGGGATGCGCGGCCCGCGCCTCCCGCGAACACGAGAAAAAGGCAATGAAATCGCGCTCTTGCCGCGCACATATGCCAATGCGCTCGATCCGCGGGAGGGGGCCGGGGTCGCCGCGCTCTCTCCCAGGAGGCGCTGCGCGCGCGCGCGGTGCCCCCCGCCCTGCCGTCAGCCCCCTATGCCCTGGCCAGACCCAGCCCAAAGCCGAGGCAGAAGCGACTGTTAATTCGAGGTCCTTACCACATGCCCACAAAAGGCCTCAGATCCGCTCCGAGGCGGCTGCAAATGGCCACGGAGATCGAGCCCCAAGAAGTCCCTCAAGGTGCGCCTCAACATAGCGCAATAGGCTCCCAAGAGAGCCCCAAGAAGAGCTCCAGAGCGTCAGCGTCGTCGTCGTCGTCGTGGTCGTCGTGGCCGTGGTGGTCGTGAAGGTCCGTGGTCGTGGTCGTGGTCGTGGTCGTGGTCGTGGTCGTGGTCGTGGTCGTGGTCGTCGTCGTCGTCGTACGTCCCCCTTCAAGGTCGGCAGTTCCAGCCGCAAGGCCTTCCCAATGTATGATCCCGGGTTGGGGTTCACAGCCCCCGCCCTAGATGGGATGGGCCCCAGGGTTCCACAGCCCCCTTCCTCCCCACATGGGATGGGGGGGCGACGACGACGACGACGCAGACGATGACGCAGACGCAGACGCAGACGCCGACGCCGACGGAAGACGACGACGACGACGACGCAGACGCAGACGCCGATGCTGACGCCGACGCCGACGGTGACGATGACGCCGACACCGACGCCGATGCCGACGCAGAAGACGACGCCGACGACGACGGCGCAGACGACGACGCCGACGCCGACGCCATCGATGACGCCGACGCCGACGGAAGACGACGCTGACGCCGACGACGACGACGACGACGAATCACCCCACACCCACAAGGGGGGGAGAGCAGTACCCACCACCACGCCACGCCCGCATGTCCTCGACCACAGCGGGGGGCCGGGGGGAGCGATCCCATTCGCGAAGCCTTCGCGAGGCTCACTGACAGACCCATCCACCAACGGGGGGTCGATCCCATATGCATTGGGGGTGGCAACCCTGGGTCATATAAATCTCTATATAAATGTATGATTGTATGTATGTGTGTATGTATGTATGTATGTATGTATGTATGTATGTATGTATGTATGTATGTATGTGTGTGTATGTATGTATGTATGTATGTATATATGTATATATATATATATTCATATCGAGAGAGAGAGAACATGAGAGAGAGAGAGAGTTAAAGGGGGCTCCAAGAAAGTCCCAACGGGTTCCTGGGCCTCGGGAAGCGTTCAGTGAGAACCAAAACGAATCCAAGAGTGCCGAAGAAGAGGACCCCAAGATTGCCCCAAAGAGTTCCCGAGACTTCGGGTACACGTGCATCGCGGACATAACCCACACGATTCCTCACGTGACCCATAGGGAGCGCTGAAAGATCCATACATATATATATATATATATATGTATATATGTATTGCTAGTGCCTGTGATGGCTGACAACACAATTGGGGTTTGCCATTCGAGGCGTATGCTCTTTCAACCCTGGCCTACTTCAATCATCCTGGAACTCTCCCTCCTCATCATCAACATCACCGTCACCTCATCATGCCGATGGTCCCCAGCATCATCATCATCATCATCATCATCATCATCATCATCATCATCATCAGCATCAGCATCAGCATCAGCATCAGCATCATCATCATCATCATCATCACCATCATCATCATCCTCGGGTGGATCTGTCCAGGGACAGCTGGTAAGCCCCTGATGTCGTCACGACCCCCCCCTTTCGGGGTCGGCGGAATGCAGTCTCTACAATAACGCGCGTCTGTTCCACAGGCCTCCTCGGAACTTGGTACTCAGAAAAGCAGCTGCCGATGCCGAGCTCTGCCCTTGCGAAGCACGATCAGCATGTGGACCCTACACTGGCGGTCAGTCACTGACAATGAATGCAGACGCGTGATACTTTGCAGACCAGCATGCCTCATGTGGTAGCCGCGAATTCGGTTTTGGATCGTCTCCGATCCTTGATTGAGCTATGATGTGGTACGGGTACAATGGCTGCTGTCGTTTACTGAAGAACTCACCAACCCAATACATATCGCACAATGGCGCCCACCGCTGCGCCTAGCACGGCAAGGGTAACATTTCGTTGTGAAGGCATCTGCAGACTCGCGTTCTGGACAACCGCGTCGACACACACACACAAAACCACGCCCAGAAACAAATACACGCGCACACACACACACACCTGTCCTCGCACACGGTAAGGACATGAATCCACACGGACGTCTAAAGGCAGGGAGCCCGAGTGCCAGAACTGCCGAACCTGCAAAAACGCTGGGCGTAAGAAACCACAGGTTGCAGGGCTGGCCAACCCTCACGCACCAGGGCAGCGGCGGGCTCGGCGGCGGCGGGCGCGTGCAGGTGAGCCTACAAAACAGGCCGAGCCCTCAGGTGACAGGGCAGTGGCGGGGCCGCGGCAGCGGCGGGGAGACCCAGCGCGAAGGCAGGCGTGCGCAACAGGATGAGTATGAGCCAACCTCCTGAACAGCGGCCAGAACACGATGGTATGGGTGCCAGACACACAACCAAGCGTGCGCCTCTGAACGGGTGGCTTCTGGCAGCTGGAGAGGCAATGCCTCTAACACAGGAGAAAGAATGAAGGCATGCGAGGCGAAGAGGGGGAGGGTTGGAGGGGAGAGGTGAGGTGAGATCAGGAAAAGTGAGCAGGGGACTTCCTCCCTGCTGCTCCTCCTGCTTCTGTTCTTCTCCTCCTGAATGGTGTGGATGCCCTCTGGCCTGATTCTCCCTGCTGGTCCTTCAGGGCAGCGAGGCTGTGTATCTTGGTGTTTGGCGCTGGCGCGAGCACGCACTCCCGGATAACGAGGAGGGGCGGCAAGAAGAGCATCACCAGCGCGAACGCTGGCGGCCACGGCCCGGGTACTCTCCTCCTCCCTCTCCTCTCTCTTCTGCCAGGGCCACCTGCAGAAACAATGAGGTACCCCACTCAGCCCCAGGTCCCCGCACCGTGCCTCGGACTCTTCCGCCCCGTCGGCTCATTGCCCTTCTCTACTTCTCTTTCTCACTTTCCGACTCCCACTCCCCTCCTCGCCAACATACTCCCAAATCCCCCCCCCATCCCTGCCCCGGCCTCCCTCTTCTATCCTTGCTTCTGTATTCTGGCCGTCCCTCTTCCCTCCTAACATCTCACTCCGCCCAACATCCCAATCTCCCCCTTGGCCGACCGGCCCCCCCTGTCCTTGCTCATCCGTCCCCCTTACTCGATTACTCAATCTGGATACTACTCTCCTCTCTCCCCTGGTGACGTCCGGGAAATGTCCGGACACCGCCGCGAACTGGTTTGTTACACAAGATTCCCAGGAGTTGGGTTTAAGCTTGGTTGTTTTTCCAATATGCTGTTCTTGCTGAAGCGCTGGCTTCATTTTCGGGCTACCGCTCGTTCGGATTCGTGCTCCCGCTGCAGCACTGACCTCATTTCCGCGTTTTCGCTCGTTCCGAATCGTGCTCACGCTGCAGCGCTGGCGTAATTTTTTCCAGCGCCATGCCACGGCATGGTTTTCGGTCCTTCCAAATAGGTCCCAAAATCTAAAAAAAATGCTCCCAGAAAAAACCATCGGAAGTGATTCCGCATTCGGTGTCGATTCGCTGATCTTTTGGGCCGCAAAAGCCTCCCCCCACTTTGGGGCTTCGCCACGCCATGCTATGTCAAGCTACGCGTCCTCCGAATCGCGTTCCCGCTGCAACGCTGGCCTCATTTCGGCACTTCCTCTCGTTCCGAATCGTGCTCCCGCTGCAGAGCTGCTGACAAATTTTCCAGCGCCATGCCACGGCTTGGTGTTCGGTCCTTCCAAATCGGCCCCAAGATCTAAAAAACTGCCGCCCGAAAAAAACATCGGAAGTGATTCCGCATTCGGTGTCGATTCGTTGATTTTTTGGGCCGTAAACCTCCTCCCCAGGGACCTTCAAAAACGATCTGGCTGGAAAGCGCCGATCCGACTTGACCCCGTAAGGGGTCCAGGGGCCCAGTGTGAGCCGATTGTTCAAGGAAGCCAGATCATCGAGCCTGGCAGCCCGCCGTACTATGCCCTGACGTCCGTCCTCGCCCGCCGCAGCTGCCCCCGCCACCGCCGCCGTCGTCGTCTGCGTCGTTGTCGCCGTCGGCAATTTCTGTGCGTTCCCTGGAGCTTCCGGAAGTCTTCGGGCCATCCGCCTCGCCTTGTGCAGAGCTGTCCCGGGAGCCCAGGGAGACTTGGAAGGGGGCTCGGGAAACGCAAGGCAGCGTGTCGAATGGAAGGGTGGGGGGTGGGGCTTTACGCTATTACAGAGCCCCTACCAGACGACACTTGGCATTCGAAAGCGCCCGCATCGGGCAAGCACGGCTGCGCAGGAAAAGGAGCCGGGATTCTGGACAAGCCTTCTCCTTTCGTACACGGGCCATTTACCCTCCAAGGCATCCGGTGCCATGCCATGGCATGTAATGCGATGTTGCGTCGTGCTCCGCTGTGCGATGCCATGCTTTACGATGTTACGCTGTGTGATGCAATGCTACACTACGCAATGCCAAGCCATGCTATGACATGCTCTGCTCTGCCGTGCTCTTCTACACCATGCTATGACGTGCTTTACAGTGCATCTCTAACCCCCGGCATCAGCCTGTGCGCATAAAGAAGAGATCTGTGTGGTAAGGGCTGGGAGGGAAGGGTATGACGACAGATATCACGCGAGCGCACCTAATTAGCTTGTCCCATAACCCTCTCCCACTCTTCCCCATCCTCCCTCTTCCCACCCTCCTTCTGCCCTCCTCACGCGTTCCTGCACTTACTGCCTGTGGGCCTCTCCCTCCTCCGCACCCCTGCCTCTCTCTCTCCTCTCTCGTGCTCCTTATTCCTCTGTCTATGAAGTCAATTTTGATAATGTGCCAAGTAGAGTTTCAAGAGTCCACTGTCTTAGCCGAAGTCCGTATGTTAAGCATGCTGTTTGGGCCCAGTTGACGCGATAGTCTGAATATTCTCTTACCTTACCCTGACATCTGTGCGGACGCTTCTATCTCTAAGGACTCGGAAGAATCGCAAGAGTGTTGTGGCGACTGGTCTCCCAAGGCGGAACAGAATGCGCCCGACCTGCAGCTTGATTTTGCAGGGTGTCACTCGCGTCGCGAATTGTCCAAGCATGTTGACCCTGAGTGTGCCAAGTTCCACGCATCCCAATCCGAGCAGGAATTTCCCGCTCGGATTTATCATGTTGAAGCTGCTGACAAGCAGGCCGCTTTGGAGCAGCTTGGCTCCCTCGAGGAGCAGGCTGCTTCCTGGGCGTTCGGTTCCCCTCCATTCCTTTCCCCTTCCACTGTGGCCCCGCCCCCATCCCCCCCCCGTTCCCGCTCACTGGCGCCGAGAGAGAGAGAGAGAGAGAGAAAGAAAGAAAGAAAGAAAGAGAGGAATAGAGAGAGAGAGAGAGAAAGAAAGAAAGAAAGAAGGAGAACATCGAGGAGGTCCGCGAGCGTGCGCGGCAGCTGCGGGTAGAGCGGCTCGCTGCCGAGGAGGCCCGCCGCCGCGCCCGCGTCGCCCCGTTGGGGGGAGGTGCCGCCGAGAATCGCGCTCGTCGACCTCCTGGCTAAGCCTTGCCCGCCCTCCTCCCTGTTCTTCCCTTCTAACCTTTTAGGACGTGGGGTGGCTGGTGGCGGAAGTGGTATTCTTGGCATCCAGTCCATCCTAAGAGTCTCGAGTACGCTGAACTCAGCCACACCGGGTGCCACACCACCGTTCGACGACGACCGCCTCCTCGTCATTTTCTCCTCCCGGGAAGAAAGAGGCGGGCAATGCCCGACATAACGCAGACGCCCATGAACAGCCCGAACTCACGCAGGGGCTGCAAGACGCTGGCGAGGTTGGCGAAGAAACTGACGGACGTGGTCAAGGAAGTGGCCAAGCCTTGGCTCGACCGCCGCCGGCTGCGGCAAACTGGTCCTGAGTCTGCGGCCGAGAGCTCCCCAGGCAGGCGTCTTGAAATTGCAATCGTGAAGACATCAGCTTCGCGAAGGGCCCAACCCTATGCAGCTGGGCGTAGCACATCGGGTCGTTCTCTCTTCATTTGCTGCGCGCCGTGGGGCAATGCGGAAAGCGGGCTCCGAAGAAGCGCGCAGAAACGCGCTGAACTCCCCGTGGGGTACGATGCGCATGAGGGGCGTACAGAATTGGGCGAGAGGCCCACGCAACCGTGCCCACTGAGGCCGTATGTAGAGCTTCTTGTGGGCCAAGATCCACATGAAGGGTACGCCGAAATGACCATGGGCCCGCGTGCGGCCGCCTCACTGGGGCCGTTCGTGGAGCCCCCTTGTGTGGCACGATCCGCGTGAGGGGCATGCGGAAATGGGAGGGGGGGCGCCATGCGGGCGTGCCCACTGTGGAGTTCCTGTGAGGCACGGTCCGCATGATGTGTGCCGGCATGAGGCATGGGCGGGGCGACGACGAAATCAGCGCTGCGCCCAAGTGGAGCTCCCTGTGGAGCACGATCCACGATCCGCGAGAGCAGTGTGCCGAAATGGGCGCGCCGCCGTGATGTGGATGTGCCGAAATGAGCGCGGCGCCATGTAAGCGTGCCCACTGGGGCCGCATGAGGGGGATGTCGAACTAGGCGCGATGCCGCCATGCGGACGCGCCGGCTGGCGCCGTAGATGGAACTCCCTGTGGGGCACGACCCGTGTTTGGGGTGGATAGCAGCGACAGCAGCGGCGGGTAGCGGGGATATCAGAAACGTCAAGGCTGCACCATGCAGCGGCGGCGCAAGAGCAGCAGCGGCAGGGAGGAGGAAGGAGCAGACGCGCGGCAAAACGGAGAGAAAACGAAAACCCAACAACACAGGTCGGCTTGGGAACAAAAGCACGACGGCTCAAGCCAGGGGAGAACTCCCAGACTCCCCCCAGCAGATCCCCCCTCCCCATCCCTCTCCTCCTGATCCTCACCCTCGGCCTCGGGCTGCTGCTGTGGATGTCGCTGCTCCCGCTCCTGCTCCTGCTCCTCGCTCCTCCTCCTCCTCCTCCACCTCGCTCCTCCGCCTCCTCCACCCTCGCACTGCCTCTCGTCGTCGCCGCCCTCCTCGTCCTCCTCGCCCCTGCCAACCCCAGAGGTCGACGTCGTCCTCCTCGAGCGGCGGCCGAGGGCGGCGCAGCTCTTGCCCGCGTGCGTGAGGAGGAACACGACCCTGCGGCCGGGGCCCGGGGCTTCGCCATCGGAGGGGGAGCCTCCTCGATCCTCCTCTCTCTCTCTCTCGGCCTGAGGGTCATCCCGACGCGGCCATCCCCTCCCCCCCACCTCAGGGCCGTTTGCACTTGAGGGGGGGTTGATGACACTGGTGCGCCGAGTGATTCCAGGGGCGTTCGCCCTCTCGATCCTCCCCTTCCTCCTCCTCCTCCTCCTCCTCCTCCTCCTCTTCCTCCTTCTCCTCCTCCTCCTCCTCCTCCTCCTCCTCCTCGTCCTCCTCCTCCTCCTCCTCCTCATGGAGCGGGTGCACTGCACAAGTGGACCAAGGTACCTGCGCCATGGAAGGTACCTGCGCCATGGCAGCCGCAGGCGGGCAAGGCGGCCGACGACAGCGAGTGGAACCACGAGCTAGCGCACCCGCAGAAGGCCGCGGACGCAGCGTTGAAGGGCTAGGAGAGCACCTGGGGCGACCCCCTGGACGACCGAGCCCCGTGGCTGCAGCCGCCCACCGCCCTCGAGTGGGCCGAGTACAGGCCGCAGCCCATCACCCCGAGGCAGGCGGTAGGGGCCTGCGGCCGCTCCAAGCCCAAGACTGGGCTCGGCGAGTCAGGATGGCACCCGCGCCCTGGAGCGAAGGAGGCATCCACGGTGCTGCGAGACTCGCCAGCGTCCTCAATGCGCTGGAGGCGGGATCGCCTTGGCCGCAGGCGCAGGGCACCATCTTGTTCTATCTGATGGCGAAGGCGGCAGGTGGTCATCGCAACCTTGGGCTGATGCCAGAGCTGGTGAGGCTGTGGGAGACGATCCGCATGCCGTACGCCAGGCGCTGGGAGGACGCCCGCCGCAGGCCATACGACTGGGCAGCGCGTGGGCGGTCCAGCAAGAGGGCCGCATGGGAGCAGGCGCTGTTCTGCGAGTCCACGGTGGCCGAGGGCATGGAGAACGCCGTCACGTACTTCGACCTGGTCAAGTGCTTCGAGCTCGTCACGCACGAGAAGGTGTGACAGGCGGGGACCCGCTCAGGGTTCAACAGAGTGATTCTCAAGATGGTGCTGCGCATATATTCCATGGTGCGCCGCATCGTCCTGGACAACGCATACACGGAGGGCAGACGCTGGGCGCGCGGCATCGTGGCGGGCAGCCGCCTCGCGCCCCTCTGCCTCAAGATGGTCATCTTCGGGGAGTTGGACGGTGTCGCCGCATACTTCCCGTGGGCATCACTGTGCCTATTCTTCGACGACCTGGCGGTCGCCATGAGGGGCGCGAGGATGTTCGTTCAATACTGGCGTGCGCAGGTGGTGCAGCGGCTCATCGACATGTTCGAGCAACTGGACATGAAGGTCTCCAAGGGCGTGGAGGGCAAGACGGCCACCATGGCCTCGACCACCGCGCTGCAGGACGGCCTCGCCAAGCGGGTGCGGCCACTAGGCGTCAGGATGGTGCGTCACGCGGACCACCTCGGCGTCACCACCGCAGCGGGCAGGAGACAACGAGTCAGCGCCTTCAGCACGGAGGACCAGCAAGTATGCAGCGCGGCGAGACCGCATCGCGCGCATACGCCGTGCATGAGGCCCTGCACAGGCGATCATCAGGCAGGGCAAGGTGCCGTCGGATATGTGCGAGGTGCAGGTCATGGGCCTGGCCAGCTCCACGCTGGCGCACCTGCGGCAGAGCGTGGCGACCTCCTTCAGGGGCAACACCATAGGCAGATCCACGCCGCTGGTGCTCCTCGCCGAGGACGCCGACCCAGGCATCCGCGCCAACACGGAGCCTCTGGTCAAAGGGGCCTTGGCGTGGCAGGAGGTCGACGGCCAGCCCGACATGCAGCACCAGCTCCAAGGAGCCTGGAAGAGATGAGTATATCGAGTGGGTCGTGACAAGACCCCATGGTTACAGGTGCGAGGGCCAGCAGGAGCCTTCGTAGCGACGATCCAAAGATTGGGCTGCATGACGCAAGCAGCCCGCAGCATCACCATCGGCGAGGAGGTCATGGACCTGAGGACGTTGCCGATCAAGGACCTGAGGCAGCGTATCCGCAGGGCCACAGAGGACAGCCTCAAGCAGGAGTGGCTCAACAAGCACGGGGAGAAGCACGGCCTCGACAGCCTCTTCGTCGAGCCCGTGCAGGCGCTGCTCAAGAGGCCGCGGACAGGCCGACGGACACTAGAGCACCAGACGAGTGCGCAGCCTCTGGAGCGGAGGCACATGGCCGCAACAACGACTCTTCGACAAGGGCGCCGCGCAGGACAACATCTGCAAGGCGTGCCAACAGAGAGCAAGGCCGGACCGCCACAGGACCTTCGTGTGTGCGGCCCAGGAAGAACATCGGAGAGCAGACGGAGGGCACCACAAATGCCACCGTGGTGCTACGAGATGGCCTGGAGCGACGGAGGCGCAGCTGGCGGCGTCCGAGGCGCCCTGGGGGCGGGGCCTGGCTCCAGACCCCGCGACGGAGTTCAACTTGTGGGCCCTGCCCACCATGGACACCAGCGCCGTGGAGGGCGAATTCATCGGCTTCGTGCACGGGGACGTCTGCACCGACGGCAGCTTGCTGCACGGGGAGTACCCAACACTTCGGCGAGGAGGCTGGGCCTTCGTGCAGCTGGACGCTGAGCACGAGCTCCAGTACGCCATGTTCGGCCCGCTCGAGGGGCCGCAGAGCGACCAGTCGATCTACAAGAGCGAGCTGGTCGCGATCGCCAAGGTCCTCGAGCGGGCTGCCCGCCTGTCAGGATCTTCTCGGACTGCAAGGCCGTAATCGACGGGTTTGAGAGAGGGCCCGCCTGGGCCGCACGCGCGGACACAGCCCACAAAGAGGTCTGGCTGCGCTCTTGGAGGCTCGTGGCCGAAAACAGAGGGATAGGGCCGCAGGAGATCCCGTTGCACAAAGTGAAGGCACACGCCACCAGGGCCCAAAGGGCTCAGATGGGGCCACAGCGTTCTATAGGGAATAAACTCGCAGACACCCACGCAAAGCGAGGGGCACAGATGAATAACACGAGGCCTGGCACAGGGCCGCATACATTCAGAGATACAGGCTGGTTTCAGACATCCTGGAATTCGCCGCACACGTCGGGGTCCTCGGACATGGGCTCGAGGACACCTCCGAGAGCCCAGTGCTCCGCGGGGCCCAGGGCCGTCCCGCCCCGCCCCCGACGCCTAGTGGGGGAGTGGAGGACCCGACGGGTCCCCCGCAGCCCCCACCTGGCCCCGTGGTCGCCCCCCCCGCGCCCCCCGAGGTGCTCGGAGCGAGGATCCAGAGGGTCCAAGCCGAAGGCCACCAGACGGTGTGCCTGCCGAGAGTACTATTATGTCGGAGGTGTGCCAGGTACGCCAGGGACCGATGGACGGGTTTGTTCTCCAGTTGCCTTGGGGGTAATCCTAGGGTCTTAGCTGGGCGTATAAATCGTTTGTGGCAAGATAAGCACCCCACCACGAATCAGATTCTCTGAGGCCCTTGATTGCCCAGGACAAGCCTGGGATGACGGGCGCCTCGTAGGGTTTCGTCGCCGCGCCCTCGGACGCCTCGACAAACCGACCGCGAGCGAATCCTCCTCCTTCGCCCCGGGCCCCGCTCCGGCCCTGCACCGGCCGAAGCCAGCGGGGGGCCGAGGGCGCCCGGCGGGAGGCGCGCGCACCTCCAGTGGGGCCCGGGGCTCCGCCACAGCGAATGGGTGGCAGTCGGAGACCTCCGGCGTCCTGAACGAACTCGGGACGGCCTCGCCCTCGTTCCAGGTTTGGTGTTTGGGGCCAACATTTCATTCAGCACATTTTTTTGGAGGCCGGTTGCAGTGCACAGCATCTGTTACCCCACCTACTTAGTGGGATGGATGCAACACATGCTGCCTAAGGCGAATGTCAACACCCTCTTAGTTTTTCCCCCTCCTCCTCCTTATCCTCCTCCGTTTCCCCTCCTCCTCCTCGAGGTACAGCTCACACAATACTAAACAGGAGGAATCGCACGGAGCGTCCTGGAGCGTCCCGGATCGGCGGCACAGGCTGGAGGCCTCTACAATGAGCATGGCTTTGCCCTTGTTTCAAATCT